TCATGTTAAGAAATAAAGGAAAAGATACATGAATACAAAACAAATTATAAGATCAATGACAGATGGAGATTTGGGCCAATTTATTTACTATTTCCTCCTGGTTCAGTTGTCCAGTCTCTGTCAAGTCCACACAATTGATCTCAGTGGCTCTACCACAACCCCATCATGAAGTCATGTTAAAAACAAAGGAAAAGATACATGAATACAAAACAAATTATAAGATCAATGACAGATGGAGATTTGGGCCAATTTTATTTACTATTTCCTCCTGGTTCAGTTGTCCAGTCTCTGTCAGGTCCACACAATTGATCTCAGTGGCTCTACCACAACCCCATCATGGAAGTCATGTTAAGAAATAAAGGAAAAGATACATGAATACAAAAACAAATTATAAGATCAATGACAGATGGAGATTTGGGCCAATTTTATTTACTATTTCCTCCTGGTTCAGTTGTCCAGTCTCTGTCAAGTCCACACAATTGATCTCAGTGGCTCTACCACAACCCCATCATGGAAGTCATGTTAAGAAATAAAGGAAAAGATACATGAATACAAAACAAATTATAAGATCAATGACAGATGGAGATTTGGGCCAATTTTATTTACTATTTCCTCCTGGTTCAGTTGTCCAGTCTCTGTCAGGTCCACACAATTGATCTCAGTGGCTCTACCACAACCCCATCATGGAAGTCATGTTAAGAAATAAAGGAAAAGATACATGAATACAAAACAAATTATAAGATCAATGACAGATGGAGATTTGGGCCAATTTTATTTACTATTTCCTCCTGGTTCAGTTATCCAGTCTCTGTCAGGTCCACAAATTGATCTCAGTGGCTCTACCACAACCCCATCATGGAAGTCATGTTAAAAATAAAGGAAAAGATACATGAATACAAAACAAATTATAAGATCAATGACAGATGGAGATTTGGGCCAATTTTTCCACTTGTGCCATTTTTACCAGTGCTATTATTACCGAAATTCAGATGTATAGCCTCAAGGGCTTTGAGTTTTTCTTGGGTGCTGTACAGGTTATTGGTGTTATCCACTAAAAATATTATACAACACTCATTGCAAGGAAAGACACATAATAAACAAACAACATTATGAGTTTAGCTAAATTATTCTCAGGATCTAAAAAATACAGACAATCAGTAAAAGAAAAATTATGCTATTTTGTTTAAAATGCTGGTGTTTATTTAAACTCATACATTGACTTCAACTTTAATGGAAAATAGACACAACTATCTTAATCAGCAAGCCTCACTGAGTTTCATGAATTCATAGGAAATTTAATAAACACAATGAGGTTTTTTTTTTAGCAATACACGGTAAGCGCTCCCTAGAATGCCTTCTTATTGTTGTCTCATAGGGTTGTCAAAAGTTTCAGGCCTTCTGGACAATTTCCTCTCCCATTGCGCCCAGCCATGAACTATTGAATCCTGGCTAGCATTCTGGGTACTTTATGTTTTCGAGTTTGGCATATGGCCTCCATGAATGTGGTATTATGGGGTAGTAGCTGAATTTTCTACCAATCAGCAAATTAAGATGTTTTCCTGCTTGTGTTTATTTTAACCAATGAAAAGCTCAGGTTTAATTTGTCTCTCATTTGCTACTATGATATTACTTTTTTTTTTGCTTTTTTTCTCTTCCCCTCCCTCTCCTCTGCCCCTTTCCTCCTTTTTTTTCCTTTCCTCACCTCCTTTCTTTCTTTTTCTTCCCTTTTCCTGCCTTTGCTTCAGAAAGTTTGATCACCATTTTCTTTTATAAAAAAAAAGAAAGAAATATTAATGGTGTTACCCACTTCCCCAAGTGAGACCCAGTCGACTGACTCAATTCATCAGAGAAAGGATGCCAGGCCACTTCTTGCCATTTCTGCTGAAAGCAACCCGGCACCTCTCTCCGAAGGGAGAGGATCGGCCTACCAAGGTACTTCTCTAGGGTGGGAGAAGTAATTGTCTTGTTTGGATTTATTTTTTATTTCTACTTGCTGACTTTTTTCCTTTCTTCCTCTTTCTCTTCTCTTCCCCCCACTTTCTCTGTCTTTCTCTTTTTCTTCTCTTTCCTCCCCTTTCTCTTCTCTTTCCTCCCTTTCTCTTCTCTTTCTTCCTCTTCTCTTTCCTCCCCTTTCTCTTCTCTTTCTTCCTCTTCTCTTTCCACCCATTTCTCTTCTCTTTCCTCCCCTTTCTCTTCTCTTTCCTCCCTTTTCTCCTCTCTTCCCCCCACTTTCTCTGTCTTTCTCTTTTTCTTCTCTTTCCTCCCTATTCTCTTCTCTTTCTTCCTCTTCTCTTTCCACCCATTTCTCTTTTCTTTCCACCCCTTTCTCCTCTCTTTCCTCCCCTTTCTCTGTCTTTCCCTTTTTCTTCTCTTTCCTCCCCATTCTCTTCTCTTTCTTCCCCTTTTTCTTCTCTCCTCTTCCTCCTCCTCCTTACTTTTCCACCTTCCATTTTCTTTTATGCCTAAAACAGATTCACATAGAGCCTTTGTTCTGTTTTAATTATTTCTTTTGGGGCTTTCTTTTTTGAAACCCATGTCTGAAATTTCTTTGTTTATCGATGATGACACGAACACACGACAGTCCATTTCTAAAGTTTGGTAGAAAATCTTCCAACTTTTACTCTGGCATCTTTCTTTTAATTCCTGGTATTTGTTGAGTTTCTTCTTTTATGTGCCTGCATAAAATTCTCTCCCCAAAGGATGGTCTATTCATATATTAATAACATTTTTTTCTTTATTTGTGATGTAATGGAATAACCTGTCACCCCACTATAGGTAGTAACTACCTATAAGTAGCTGTAAGTCAATGGGCTACAGAGACTAGCTGCAATCTGTTACTCAGCTCTTAACTGTTGTCGAACTCTTTGCCTTTGGAGAGAGAGGAACCCAAATGAGGTTATGCCGAAGGGCAGAGTCTCATCTGGAGTAGTAGACCGACCCGACACCGTTTTTTATGGGGTCTATGGGGAAATTTTGCCCGAGCCTACAGGCTCAGATACCCCAAGTTAAATTCGGCCTTGTGCCACATCTGACCGCGTGGGGTGGTTGGCAAATATTCTAGCTGGTATCTGTTACTCAGCTCTTAGCTATTGTCGAACTCTTTGCCTTTGGGCAGAGAAGAACCCGAACGAGGCTATGCCAAAGGGCAGAGTCTCATCCAGGGAGGTAGACAGACCTGAACCCATTTATGCAGGGTTTACGGGGAATTTTGGCTGAGCATACAGGCTCAGATTGCCTCACATTAAATTTGGTCTTGTGCCACATCCTACCCCATGGGGGAGGTTGATAAATATTACTAACTGGGATCTGTTGAGTACAACTCAGACTTATGCTAGAACTACCAACCTTCCAAAAGTAGCCCTCACTACTGAATTGACTTGCGATGACCTTGTGTATAACTGTTACCTTTATTCTTATTCTATTGGTTTTTTACAATAAACCTTTATTTATTTTATCCACCTTGTTTTTTCAAGTATATATTCCTACTAGCATGGAAATATAACAATTTGAAAAAATGTTAATGTCAGGTCTAAGTGATGTTTCTGTAAATGTGTTCTGGGAATTTTAATTTTTTCCTTAGATCTACTTTCACCTGCCATTGGGTTTGTTAGATCGTTGGATTGAGTTCTCTGTGTGGATATTTCTTTTGATCTAGCTTTGATGAATTTTATCATATTTTCATGTCAGGGTTTGTTATTGTGTATAAATAAGTGAAATAAATTTGTGATTATACGCAATACTTCATCCTGATGCCACCTGTACCTACCTTCCCTTAGTGTTATTGGGCAATTTCTCAGAATGTGTTTTAATGTACCTATTCCATTGCACAGGTGACATTATACACTGATTTGATGGTGAATTGGGTTCGGTTATTATTCATGCTACATATGTCTGTCAATATTACTTTTCACTGAAGGCCTTCCTCCCATTTTGTACACACACCCTGTCAGCTCATTCCAATTAGTTTGCTTAAGCATGTGTTACGGCTGGTGCAACACAAAATAAGATGAAACAGATCCTTAGAAATTAAAGTTGAAGGAAAAGATTACATGTAATAACGAAAAGTGGGTTTTATTTAACATATAATAAAATATTTTTTATAAACAGTCGGGCTGAGGTTTAAACAATATACGTTGGGAGATGCTAACAGTTGATAAGTGTGTGAGAGTCCAGAAAGTAGTTGGTTTAATGTGTAGCTATATGAGGGAGTGGGAGAGGAAATCCTTATACAGTTAAGATTAAGGCGACAGATGGGAATTGGTCGCTAGTCAAAGAATAATATTATTTTCTTCTTAGAAAAATAGTTAGATATTCACATGTATATAAAATAAAGGAGTTTGGTCAATAATATCAAAGAATAAAAAGGTGAAGTATATACCGATAGCCTTTTCTTTTTGATGATTGTCGGAACTTAGGTCAAAAGCTTTGTTCATGAATCAAATGGACTGGAGTCGACCTCAGTAGTCATGGCTGTGGGCTCAGGAGGCCAACTGGCTACTAGTTGGTACGAATTCCTGTTTATATATGTTTTTTGTACCCTCTAGAATCCAGTAGAAGTTTCTAGAGACTTCTAGAAAGTTCCATTCCATTATTATGAAATCAAAAGGGTTTGGAGAATTGGAGATTTTCATAAAAAGGTCATCTAGTAGCTACAGATTTAAGTCATCAATTTAAATTAGATTTTGTATTTTATAGTGTAAGTGCAAAGAAGTAGGACAAAATGGGGCCTCGTAACACGTCTCTTCTGTAGCTGCCTGTATTTCATCTTGAATTAACTGTCTTTTTTCTATCTCATATATGTTACTGTATTGTTTACTAGTGAAGTCCCCGAGGCCAACACAAAACCTTTTACTACAGTTCCAAGGATAGTCTGGTATTTTATTCTTTCCTCTGCAATCTAAAGTTCTTTTATTTTGCTCTCTACTTTTTCCTGTGCACACCTTGATGCCAACTAAAGCTATTTTTGAGTCCTTTGATGTTTTGTATCAGAATAATTCTCTTGTGTGCATGACTTTGAATTCTTCTTCCAAACTTTTTAATGGAAGTTACAGAAAGTTAGTCTTACCATCTTTCCAGCTTAGTAATTATCGCGATGGGAACTTTATAGATTAATAATGGCCACAATGTCCTTGGCATCATTGTGTGTTGATAGATTCAGCTTGTGAAGCAGACTGGTACCAATGTCTTGTTGGTTTTTCTTACCCATTTGTCCAGGTCCTTTTCCACCTTTTTTTTTTATGGCATTGCTATATCTCAAACTTTGGTCGATGATATTTTCAAGGCTTTTAATCGGCTTATCTCACTTTTTGTTGGAACAGACACTTTATTTCTTTTGAATCTGTTTCTATTCACAACCTTGCCTTTTATAATAGCTACCGATCTTGATTTTTTATGCTTGAATTCCATCGTTGCCCATTGGGTTTGTTTTTCCAGCTCCTCCACCTACCCACAATAGCCATCTGCCACCTGTTATTGTTGATATGATCTTATGGTGGTGGGGGAGCTATCTGGTGCCGGTTAAAGATGATGGGCCTTTGCATTTCTTTTGGATGTTTTTTACTATTAGATTCATGGCAAGAATAGCATGGCAGAAATAGTACATCCTGTTATTATGCCTTTTTCTATAATGTGCCAATCTGAGTACGAGTTATTTGTCTTGACTCTTAGTTTAAATTCTGTCTAATAGTCCATGATTAGATCTATAATGTTAGATGGGGTGTGGTGCCTGTATTGTGTTACCCTTATTATTTTGTGGGGTAGCGAGCTATATGCATTTGTTAAGTCCAACCATAGGATTACCAGATTGCCCCTATTTTCTTCTCTTAGTAACTGTGTAATGACACTTGTGTGTTCAAGGCAAACCTGATACGCCTGCTATCTCACCTTTTTGTACTGACATGTCCATGTAATCATTAATTTTCAAGAACGTTGTTAGTTGTTTTGCGAGTATGTTGAAGAAAATTTTACCTTCTATGTCAAAAAGGGATATTGTCCTGAACTGGTTGAAAGTTTTAGAATTCTTTTCTTTCTGGACCCGTCACCCCCCCACACACACAGGTCCGTTTTCCAATTTAGTGGTACCTGGTTTCTTTTCCAAATTATTTTATAACACTTTTAATTTTTTTTTTATTTTATAATAATGTTTAAGGAGATTTGGACATCTTTTATATACGAGGTAAGTCACTCTGTTGGGTCCTGATACAGAGCCAGATCTAGCAGATTGTAGTATTTTTTGAATCTCCTTTCATGTTGGTACATTGCTATCAAATTTTGTTGAAGGTGGTTCAAAATTCACTAAACTCTCGTTAGAATCGAGTTCTATGTTTTTTAATGAGTCTTGAGAATTGTCCTGAAGGTCATTGTTGACCTCTTCACTATTTTGTTGTAGTTGGCTGTTGCATTTGTCACCAAGAACGCTTCTACAGTTGTCAAAAAGGTCGAAGAAAAACTTTGTCCTTTGTTTATTTTTTTCTAATCTTCATTTTCTTATTCTTTCAGCTCTTTGGATTCTTTTTAACTTTCCTCTTAATTCATCCATAAGTTTGCTAAGAAGTTTTTTTTTTTCATTAGGATCAGCTTTTTTAAATCTTTTCTTTAGAACTTGCATTTCTTTCCTCAAAGATTTAATTTTGTTCTCTCTCTGATTTGATTTATCGTTTCCGGGATTTTGTTATGTTTGTAGCCAAAACTTTTTGAAGCGTAACTCACTATTATTCTTGTTAATGTCTTTGAACATTTTTCTGAGTTTCCTTTTAGAATCATTTTTCGAATCCCATCAATGTTAAATTTAAACTTTTTTCACTCATCGCTGTTTTTTGATGAAGGCCATTTTATCTTTTTGGTGAGCCTAAGTAGTGTTGCTTGATAATGCAGGGTTATGTGGGTGTGCTTTCTGATTCTACTTCTCATACATCTCACCAGAACTTATGTCTGTGTGCTGCTATCAACTAGTTTGGATCAGATACTTCATGCGGCCTTGGTGCATTTTGAGGCCTCTCAAATTCTTGCAAATCTTCTCATATATGCATACTTGACTTGTATTCTATAGTGGGTCAGCCAATTTGTATTGGTTATAAATAGAAATAAAAACTGACCCTCTACAATTTTTACAATATCAAATGTAACAAAGACAACAACAAGAGAAATAATCAAGTAGAAGAAAATGTGAATTTGTTCAACAATAAATATTTTTATAAACACAACAAATACATAATATATAGTGCAAAAGTTGATAAACACAATAGAGTTCTTTGGTGTGTGTGTTACTGAAAGAATTTGAGCTACTGTACTGTATGTGTGAAAATGACAAGGTTTAGTTAGCTATATTTGTTTTTATAGAAAAATTAAACAGATGTTTTTTGTGTATTAAATAAAAAAAAGTATTGTTCTTGACTCACTGACCAGAGATTCTTGTGGAATGGAATATTTTGTGGGAGTGAGCGTTAAGCCTGGAGATGGTTGACAAAGTTTGTTGTTGTATTGAAGATAAAGTTCGTCTCC